TATGGGAATGAAGACTACCTCGAAATGAGGATTTCAGTAAGAATAAAATTTAAAGGTTTTCTCAAGTGTGTGTTTATTCAGTACACCTTATTACATTATTTTTCAGTGGTCTTCTAGTTCTCATCCTTGCTAAAGAAAGATTTTTTTCTTCTGAACCTGTATCACTGAAGTTTGCGGCATTGCCTTTTCTCTCTCGGGGCCAATGTTTGATGTCAGGATTTTTGCCTTCAGCTTGTAAGACAGGTGTACCAGTGTCTTTGTAAGCCACAGAGTTAATGTTTCCTATCTTTAATAGCAGGCACTAAAACTGTAGGAGATGGCATTCTTTTATAGGTCCTGCAAAAGAGGCTGAATTAATCACCTCTGCAGTGTAGACATCTGCTTCCTGCGTTCTTCCTCTGTAGACTGAATTTGACAATTAAATTTTAACAACAACAAAAAAAGAGCACCGTACTTAAATATAAATGCTTAAAGCATTATTTGGACAACCGTGGTATTGAGGCAGTTAGGTCACAGTTAAGATGAAGATGTAAACTAAAGCCTTTCACTCTTTGTTTGAGTTTGTTTTCCAGCAGTTTTGAGAAAAGAAAAATAATTAAATTCCCCATTAGAATACAAAGCTGTGAATAATTCCACATACCAAATATAGCATGAGCCAGTTATTGAATATATCTTAATATCTCAGTTTAAAATTTGCAGTGTGATTTGGTGGTGTCCAGTGTTTGGAATTGACTGTTTTTGTGATAAGAGACAGACATCTTAGTCAATAGGTCTTAAATTTATTATACTTTGGTGAGTACACTGGATCCTGAGTACTTTTCAATCCGAAGATCCACAATGTGCCACCATGTTTAAGATTCCCTCCAAATACAGAATTGTGTTTCCCAGCCGCACTTCCCATCTCCACAGCCCCTCCCATGTTACCTGTGGCAAGGATTCTGGTTCAGTAGGTTTGAAGTGGTGCCTAAGCATCTGCTTTTCACAGTGTGCCTCAGGAGTCTTGATACACTCCTGATCTTGAGAACTGCTGGGGTAAGAGTTTTGATACTGGAGTAAATCAAAACTAAAGCAGAACCAAATCAAGTAGCAGACAGGGCAGGCCAGAGACTTGGACAGTAGTCCTTCACGTTCATGAACTCTCCTTTGCTCTCCTCCTGTGGCATTATGCAACCAAGGTAGGAGAGTGAATCAAATTCATACACTTTGGCTGGGAGCAAGAGCCAATAAAACCGTTGCACTTTGTTCAGCAGATAATTTCACTTTCCCTGAAGGCTTGAAACTTTGTAAAATTAAGCTTTAGTCATAAAATGCTCACAAAGATTAATTACACAGTTGTAAAAGTTACAGCGTTTATAATTATAAATATAAATAAGGATAAAAATATGATAGTTTTAAAACACTTTAAAGGACCATTTAATTTATATACACAGATTCTGGTTCCTGCCCAGTGTGGGTTATATCTAATAGCAAATGTATAAGTGCTTGAATTATGTTTCTCTTTGCCTGCCTTTCTCAAAGCTAAATTCTGAGAGGTTTGTCTTTGATTATAGACAGCCATTAGCAAGTAGAAATAAATCTTGCACATCTACATTTTATGCAAGGCTTAGTCAGTACTTTAATGCATATAATCATGACATGTTAGGATTTAAGCATTTGGACTTTAGCATTAAAGTTTAATAAATAAATTTCCTCTTTTGGGAGGGTTGTTGTAAACATGAATTTGCTGGTATATAATGTAAAGTGTATGTGTCTTTTTTCCTAAAATGTTGAGTTATGTTTAGAGTAAATTTATGTTTTATTTATCAACTAATTACCTTTTTGTGCATTCTTACAACTAAATTGTTTTCTGCATAGTCACATGAGAAGATTTCTAATTTTTATTACTTAATTTTTTATTCTTACATAATAGAAGATTAGGGTTGAGGAAACGGAGGCCTGTCTTTGTGCAGGTGTGTGTCTGTGTCATCTTTCTCTAGAATCAAAGAGGTGAGCTGGATTAGGGGTTGTGTATCCCTATGGGATACAAATATAACCCCAGTAGTTAATTAGCTCTTAACAATATTGTGTGTGCTTAAATTTTCCTGTAAAGGAGAAACATGCTAACAGATCCCAGTATTCTTCCTTAAAATTTTCTTTGATTTATGGTTGACAGACACTGCCTTGATGCTTTCAGGGTTTAACTTGAGCTCCAAGGTCCTGGGATATATTCTTCAGCAGGGGAGAGAACTGGGAGACTGCATTTGGCAGTGTGGGCTGTGGACAGACAGGTCATAACCACTCTGAACCTGTGTTTCTCCATCTATAGAAAGGGGATCATGAGCTATACTCACCTCCAGGGGACATTGTGAGAAGAAAATGAAATATAATTCATGTGAGGATACTTGAGCAGTAGTTCGTCTTTGATAGGATTTCCTTCCTTGGTAGGAGTGGAATATATTTATATCTTTCTACCTCCTTGTTTTCCCCCCATTCCTCCCAATACTTGATAGTGGCTCTTGCCCACCCTTTAAATGTTGGCCTTCCATATGGTTCCATCCTAGACAATTTTTTCACCCTGTACCGCGTCCCATAGTATATCTAGCTCCATACTTTAAATCCTTTCCCCTCTTCTTGGCTGAGTATCTCAGAGGTACTTCAAATTCACCACGTCTAAAACTGAACTCATGAACTTCCCTGGTGGTCCAGTGGTTAAAACTCAGTGCTTCCACTGCAGGGGGTGTAAGTTCTATACCTGGTTGGGGAACTAAGATCCTGCATATCGAGAGGTGTGGCCAAGATATTAAAAATAATAATAATACAAAAATCTGTACTCATGACGCACACACTGCCCCTCCCCGAAACCTGATGCTGCTGCTCTGGCGGTCTGTGTATCGGGGTGAGTCGTCCAGTGTTTCATCTAATTGTATAATCCAGAAAACCGGGTCTCTCTGAGTTCCCTGATCACCCATATCTCAGGTATGTCTTTCCACTGCAGTACGTAAAGAATCTTCACGTTCACTTTTATGGCTGCTTGAAAATCCCATGGATGGTGGAGCCTGGTGGGCTACAGTCCATGGGGTCGCAAAGAGTCGGACACAACTGAGCGACTCCACCACCACCACCAATACGCCATGGTAGGACTGTTGAAATTGATGTGTATCAGAGCAGAACATCTTTTACTTTCTAGATTATTCTTTTCTTCTACTCTGCATGGCCTTGTTGTGAATTAGCATTCATTACTTTCAGGGAGAAAAAGTAAGCTGTCAGTGTTCCCTGGCCCTTCTGTTCTCGCGTTGTCTTGTACTGCTCTTCTCCCTCATCCTCTGCTGTTGGGTTGCATGGACATGTATGTTTTGTTTCATCCATGTACTGTGTTCCCTTCTGCCTGAGACCTCTGCCTAAGCCTTAGTCTCACATGTAGATTCAGTGCTTCCTTTTCCTGCCTTTAGTTATCTTCTAATCTATTTAAGGCAGATCTCAGCTCCGTGTGCTTATTCTGCCAATCCAAGGCCAGGTCAGAGCTCTCTGATACAGTCTCCTGGCTCTTTGTCCTTTTCTATGAACAGATCATTTATTCTTACATATTTCTATGGGTGATTACATTGGTATTTGTTTCACACACTTAAAGCAGTGTTTCTTTAATAGTAGATTGCAGCCCATTATTCATTATGAAATCAGTTTTAAAAATTATGAGCTTTTAAAAAGTGAAATAGTACAGAAAATATCAGACCTTCTCACTTTTACAGTAAGGATATTTTTTGGTCATACTGTTGCTTCAGATTAATAAATAGATGTGAACATATAAGTGTCCAGATACACAGGTGTATTGGGTATGGTATTAATTACGTTTCTTATTGTGGCTCTTAGTCAAAAAAGTTTGAAAGCCATCGAACTAGATGGTAAATTCTATGAGGACAGGAATTCTGTTTTGTACCCCATTCCATCCCTGAGTCTAGCAGAGGACTCTCAGTAAATATGTTGGCTGAGTGGATGAACACACACTTTTTCAGGGAGGTCTGCAGACCTGTTCTTGCTCCTAGCGACTAATGGAACCTGGTCCCAAGTGCATGTTGGTGATTATTTCCTTGGCCAAATGAGTCTGTGTGAGATTATTAAAAGAAAAGAAGTGTGGAACCATATCTACAGAGTTTCTTTTAGGGCTTAATAAGCAGATGAAACACTATTAATGAGAGGTTTTAGATATAGTTTTTGTATTACTTAATGAATCTTAGGCCTTTAATACCATTTTATTTTATTAATAAATATAAAACAGTTTTCACTTGCCTGAATATCCAGGTAATTTTAATTTCTAAGGTAGTCTGCAGACTGTTACGTAGATGTTATCTTTTGTGTTTACTTCAGCAATAAAATATTTATGCAGTTTGGCAAGGTGATACTACAACCTGGTTTAGTACAACAGCTGCACTGCCTGTTCCCAAGTGGCTTGATTTCCCTTTTTAATCTTTGGTTTTCTGCAACTGAAGACTTATGTCAGCATGTAGTTTATACAGCAGCAAATAATGGTGAAAGCTTCTTGAATTAACAGAGTAAAGAGAAATACTCTGCCGAGTTTACTTGGTTTCATATTTTTCTAATGTCTTTGAAAAACATTTTACTAACAAGCCCTACACAGCAGAGATTTATAAACATAATATATTTACAGTGAGACAATATTTACGATATTTACAATACTACAATATTTACATTTTTGTGAATTTTTTTATTCTTTAGAGAACCTGTAAACTCATCTCCTCATGTACAGTCTCTGATATTAAAAAAAGGAAACATCTCAGTTCTTAAGTCAACACCTTTCAGCTTAGCACAGATCAGCAAAGTTCTGCAAATAAAAGAATAATTTCACACTTATTTTCGGTCATACATTTGTATGTATATTGAGATTGGATTAAAAAGTATTTAGGCAAAAAGTATAGAATCTTAATTCTTTTCACGTTTATCGTCAGAGTCCTTTTAGCACAGAGTTTTTATCTAGCATATGTGTTATTTTTTCTTTCTATTTCTAGGTGCTCCTGATCCAACAGCAGGTGCTAGTATAGATGATGAAAACTGCTGGCACTTAGATGAAGAGCAGGTTCAAGAACAGGTTAAACTGTTCCTTTCCCAGGGCGGGTACCACGGATCAGGGAAGCAGCTTAATTTGCTCTTTGCAAAGGTATGACTTTTTATTTTTAAAGAAATATTCTAAATATATACATTTATAGAAAGTATATACTACCATGTATAGAATAAGATAAAGGCTTCTTTGTAAATTTTTTTTCTTTTTTTAAGAAATGGGAATTGCCTGGCAGTCCAGTGGTTAGGACTCCACACTTTTACTTCTGGGGCTCCAGTTCAGTCCCTGGGCAGGGGTGACCAAGATCCTGTCAGCTGAGTGGCATGGCCCAAGGGAAAAAAAATAAACAAAGTTATAATCAACCATTAGAGACTTTCGTGTTGTAATGCAAACATTAATTTACTCAGATGTCTTTAGGTAAGATATGGGCCATTTTTGTCTTTTTTCAGTTCTTATACAATTTTGAAAAACTGTTCAATACTAAAAATAGCTTGATGTTAATTGAAATGCCATTTTTCAGGTTTTTTTTAGTTTGTTTGTTTTTCTGGTTATTTTTTCCCAAGTAGAGCGTAATTTGAATACAGTCCTTAAGATATGCTTTGTATAATTAGTTTAATGTCAGTATTTTAAAATTAGTTTCAAAAACGTAAACTTTGGAGTCATAGAAACCTGAGTTTAAATCTCAGTTCTAAAATCTTGAGGTGTATACCTTTGCAAGTTATTTAAGTCAGTTTTCTCCTGTATAAATTTAGCTAAATAATAGCATATCCCTTCAAGTTGTTGTGATTATGATGTTATATTATAATGGTGTCTTAACAGTAGTTGGGTCTTGGTAAATGTTAATTTTCATCACAAACATTTGATAGCCTAAGAGACAAAAGTTATCTTTAGTATAAGTTCATTGTGAACAGAAGCTGCGTCTGTTGCTTTACACAGAATGAGTACCATGAACACAGTTCTAAATACTGGATAAAATGCTTTTTAAATAATGTTAAGGCAATGTCTTTTCATTGGGGGTGCAGCCATCATTACAGATAATGAATGCAGATTGGTTTTAAAAAAACAGGTAACTATGTTCATTGATACTTTTGTTAAACAATTTCTCTCATATTCATAGTAATTAAAACCTTTTGTGGGTAAGTTTAGTCACTCAATCATGTCTGACTCTTTGCAACCCCATGGACGATAGCCCACCAGGCTCCTCTGTCCAATAGGATTTTCCTAGGCAAGAAAACTGGAGTGGATTGCCATTTCTCAGAAGAATTAAAGTAAACTGTTATTGCTTATGGCCCAAAACTAGTGTATTCTGATTAATGAAAACCATTTAAATAAAGATTTAGCCTGGGATTTTCCTGGCAGTCCAGTGGTTAAGACTCCGAGCTCCCACTTCAGTGAGCACAGGTTCCATCCCTGGTCAGGAAGCTAAGATCCCACATGCCATGCAGTGCAGCCTTTAAAAAAAGTTTTATCTATGTAGCATATACAGATTGCCAGTTTTTCAAGAATTATAGTAGTGGCTCAAACAGTAAAAAATCTGCCTGCAATTCAAGAGGCCCAGTTTAATTCCTGGGTCCGGAAGATCCCCTGGAGAAGGAAGTGGCTACTCATTCCAGTATTCTTGCCTGGAGAATCCCATGGACAGAGGAGGCTGGTGGGCTACAGTCCACAGGGTCGCAAAGAGTCAGACACGACTGAATGACTTTCATTTTTCACTTTCAAGAATACATCTAACTCTAAAATTATTTCACATGACTTAATGAATCTTTCGTAATTCATAGCACTTCAAACTCTTGTAATGCGTCAGGGTCAACAGTCTGAAATTAATTACCTTTAGGCTATATAGGTGTACTTGAGTGTTGGTTAATAGTTCTGGGTTTATATGCTTAGTGGTAAAGCATTTATTTTTCATTGCTGTTGCTAACTGAGTAGTAGGTTAGAAATTCATCAGGGAAATAAATGCTAAATTAAATCTATAACGTGCAGAGGTAATATTAAAGGTTTGGTGTATTTAGACACACAGTAAGTATTTCTTAGATTCTCATATCAGTAGAAAGTACACTGCGGCCTAGTGGAAACAATGTGAAAGAGGAATTAGATGGGCCTGCAATTGCTATTTTTATCTGTATATATGATGTTCACATTGGTAAATGTTAAATGAAGTAACAGCAACATCTAATTTTCAAAATGGCATAATTTCCAGAGTTAAGACAGATCTTGTCCTCTGGACAAGTTACTTCACTTCTGAGGCATGGCTTTATAATTTGTAAAATGAGTATTATAATCTGCCCTACTTTTTATGGTTGTTGTAAAGATTAAAAGGCAAAGTATAAATGTAAAACTCTTTAGCAAGATATCCAACAAATGGCAACTCCATTTCTTTCTGCTTTTTAGTACTTCTTAAGATTACTGAAACAGCCCTCCTGGAAGCACACCCTTGTGATTCAGTGTAGAAGTGCGTTCGAGTTCTCTACAAGACTCAAATTCTGAAGCCTGTGGAGAGGCGGTTCCGTTTCTTCTCAGGGTACAGGCCTGAGGCAGAATACACTGACCTAGAGGTTTAGGCTGCTTTATTAAAGATCTACTATTTCCTCCTTCATTTGGCTTTCACATAGAAAGAATCTTGAATAAAAGGGCTCTCTCCTCTCCTTACGTACTACCTATGACCTTGCTCTACTGATTCCCTATGCAGAGAACTGGCATTCAGCTTAGATTCCTGTTTGTTTGACACATAACATCGCACGCTTTAGGAATGGATGGATTCATTAGGATTTCCTGTAGAGCAGCTTAGCCTTATGTTTCTTTCTTTGCTTTCTCATTTATTTGGTAACTATAACAGAAGAATAATGGACAGAGCTTGATGTTCCAAAACAGAGAAGCAGAGTTAATTTATGAAGTCACTTATAATTCTACTATAAGGATTGCTCATTTGGAGCAGAAGAGTTCTTGAACTTACACAGCCCTGAACATTTCCTCTTACCATTGCAAAAACAGTCCCATCTGAATGAATAGAAGTATGTGTTGCTCTTTATGTTGAAATCCTTGTCTAAAAAAATAAAACCAGCTTGAACATCAAAAAAAAAAAAAAAGAAATCCTTGTCTAGTGCAATTACTAATTTACCTCAAAAAACGAAGGAGTTGTATAGCTTGTGCTTGAATATGCTAAAAAACCACTGAATTGTACAGTTTAAAGTGGTGAATTGTATGTATGTGAATAAAGTTAAAAAAAAAAAAAGGACAGATGCTATTACTATAAACATCATTAGATCAGTTTAGAAGATCGTAAAGAGTTTTTGGTACAGTTCTTTAGACTCCATTACTCTGCTGGTATGTGCAGTCAGTTAGAGAATTAAGAAGGTACCAAATGATTTGTCTTGTTTGTTTTGGTATTGTTGCTTTGCAGTCTGGCAAAAACATTTTTAGGGGGGAATTGGGAAGTTAGGCAATTTCTTTTTTCTTATGTGGATTCTAAAACACATGTTAATGGTCATTCTTTGATTAAATTGCCATTGAGGACAGAGGCTTGTTTTTAACAACTTTTGTTTGCTTAAAAAGGGTGGTGTTAAAAGAATCCAGCACCACCACCAACACCACCCCTGTAACTTCGCTCCCCAAGGAAGTAAAGTGTTCTGTCTCATTTTTTAACATTTTTCTGAAGGTGTTTTTTTCCCCCCACTAGGTTCGGGAGATGTTGAAGATGAGAGACTCAAATGGGGCCCGAATGTTGACTTTGATAACAGAGCAATTCATGGCTGACCCTCGTCTGTCACTTTGGAGGCAACAAGGCACTGCAATGACTGACAAATATAGGCAGCTCTGGGATGAGTTGGGTAAGTATAAATCTTCTGATGGATTGCCATTGAGTTGTGTGTGGCTGAAGACTGGGATAGGAAGTGTAAAAAGCATGGTCAGAATATTGCAGAAGAGAGCTGCTTTTCTATGAACCTGTCGCCATTGTACACGGGCTAGGACAGGGAGAATGAAGCATTTGCAGGAGTCAGTCTTGGCAGCGTTTGGGGGGAATTGTCTGATGTCGAGGAAAGCAAGCAGAGGGTCTGCTTTTAAGTATTTTGGTGGAGGGGAGATATGTATTTCCAGATAGTTATTTGGTACAATAGAATTGATTATTTGTTTCCAAACTAATATTGTAATCAGTTCAGCTGGAATTTGGCTGTTTTCCCCTTTTACCTACATTAAATTTATTGAAAGTAACTTGAGTTGTCATTTTTTAAAATTATTCTCAACTTAGATGAACTACTGATTGTCAGAATGGAAAAGTCACAGCAAACTATAATTTTTATTGCTTTCCAAATCCATGGTGGTAAAGATGTAAATACAGCAGGTGGTTGAAAAAAATGAGAAATCTACTACTTGTGTTTACTGAGAAATTTGCAGAAATGACTCTTGTTACTCAGTACTCATTGCTAGAGAAATTAATAATGAATTTGTTATCTTGTCTGTTAAGAAGTCTGTATGTGACAAATGGAATTTTTGGCAAATATTTTGTTAGTGCCTGTTTTAATTTTATGTTCTGGATATTTATTAGAAAGTTTGGCTTCCCTTGTGGCTCAGCTGGTAAAGAATCTGCCTGCAATGCGGGAGACTTGGGTTTGATCCCTGGGTTGGGAAGATACCCTGGAGAAGGGAAAGGCTACCCATTCCAGTGTTCTGGCCTAGAGAATTCCACTAACTCTATAGTCTATGGGGTCACAAAGAGTTGGACACGATTGAGCGACTTGCACTTTAACTTTTTAGTTTCAGTGAAATTGAATAGTAGAAGTCTTCATACCTTCACCTTCTGTCTTCCTCTTGGCTATTGATGGACCACATCATGCTGTTGATCCCATGCCCAGACCAAGAAAGACTGTTGTCTGTGGAGATACCAGTTATAATGCTTGGAAGGGACCTTTGAGATGAACTGCTTACAGATAAGGAAACTAAAGTCTGAGGAGGTTAAGAAACTTCCACAAAATGACATAGTGTGACCCTTTAAAGTTATACAGCAAGATGGTAAAGAATTGGACATCATAGTTTCCTTTTTCCCATTAATAGGATGTATGTTCAGGAACTGGTTTGTGGATGACAGCTCTTGTTTGTTTTTTAACATGTGTCTGCTATTTCCCAATGTTAAGATACTTGTTGACCTTCTCCTGAAGTATTTTTTATTAAGTATCTTGTAATAATTTAATCTTAGTACTTTCTTTGGGTCACCGGAAGCAATGTTAGTGGCCTTTCTCTCAGTCAGAATTTAAATCAGTCTGTAACTCTAGTGGATCCTTTCAGTGGCCTGGCAGGAAATGTTTGGGAGCTCAGTGTGGTAGTTGGAGAACACAAGTGTAATGTGTGGTTTAAACAAAAATTTTTATAAAATACTGAGTGATTTATAAGTAAAAACTCCTCAATTTTGTAACTCTGCAGTAAGTGTTGAATTGACTAGTTGGTTTATGGCAGTAAAAAGGATTAACATTAAAAAAAAACTATAATGAAGGTAATCTTTTCAGGAAAAATTATTGGATTATTAGATGAATAAAATTTAAAGAGCTTTGGTACTTAAATAAGCTTAAAATTACAGATAACTAATTTAAAGAATATATCAACTAAATATTTTGGTTACCAAAAAATAGTACAAATGATACAGTTAAATAGAAATTTCAGTGTTTATATTTAATCCATTAGTTGTATTTCACTTTTGCAAGTTGGCCTTGAAAATTATGTACTTCAACCCCCAATCAAAAGTATTAATTCTCATGAGGCAGAAGTTTTCACTAGCTGATTCTTGTTACGCTCTCTGATGGACTGCCTTTCTAATTATGGACCAGGCTTTATACAGGTTCTTTGATTTCAGTCCAGGACGAAGAATACATATTCTTGGCCTGTGTTTTCTTTTTTCACAAATCCAGCCTCCCCGCCCCCCCCGCTCCCCCGCCATCCAGTCATTGCCAGACAGCTATAACTTCTCCTGCATACTACAGTGGTGAGCAGAGGTCCCCTGCCATCTTAATGAGGCCTAAGTTCTGCGAAGAATCTCACGTGGGCGTGACAGTAGCTCTCACATCTTCATTCACCAAAAAAATTAACTGAAAGTTGCTTCTGGACTACAAAAGAAAAGGATTTTGCTTCTTAAGAAAATGGGGGAATTTGACTTTGTGCCCCTGCACAGGGCTCACATTGCTTCAAGGCTCTGCTTTGGAATTAAATGCTGAGCACTGCCAGATGCCAGACATTGAGAAGAGGCTGAGTTTTGTCGGCAAATGGGATCTGCAAGTTAATTGGTGTTTTCTGCAGGCTTCTGGCTGTGAAATGAAATTGGAAGCCCTTTAGCCACATGGATAATACAGGACCTGAATACAAATGTCACATGTCACCATCAGGACCCACTGTGAGACAATAGTGTTCCCACTCCAACACTGCACCATTACAGATCATTTAAATATGGGGATTACATTTAAACTAAAAGCCCCATTTGCCTTTTACTGCAATTTAAATGTCCTCTTAGCAAAAGCTAAGTGACAAATTAAATGAAAAAAGTGCCCACATTTTTAAAGCTGTAATGCAAAACAACCTTTTATTGCTTCTCATGTGCCACGAATGAATCATTATACTTGTCAACCCTAAACCAAGCCATAATTGGAGCAGCTACTGTTATCAAAGTAGGGCCGCTCTGTGACAGCTTAATAAAGCTGAAACTGTTAAATTAAATCTCAGATGCTTAACTCCTTAGCACCGGTGGATTCGATGGGTCCATTTCTGGCAATAGCCAATACACCAGGAGAAAAAAAATTCCTGGCATGAACGCCTTAATCTGATGAAAGTATACAAGTAAGAGTATCTCAGCCAAGTAACTGCTTCTTGGCAGAGAGATTCAGAGGCATCAGATTGTCAGCCAGATTACAAATTTTTATTTTTCTTTCATAAGATCCGATACCCCCCTCCCCAAGATTTACAGTTTTTTGAGTATATGTGATTTATTATAATGCAAGTGGTGATGTTTCAAAGTTAGTTTTAAAAAATAACCTATTCATTTAGTTCTTTCTTTCGTTCAGATAAATACATGCAATCTTATTTGAAGTAGCAACAGGCCCAATTTCTTTCCCCCATTCTCTGGCTAACAAAGGGATGATTATGCTCAGTTCTTTTCTAAAATAAATGCCTATGATATTCATTTGGTCCGAGTTAATTTTTCTGATTTGTGCCGTGATTTTCATAATGTAGTATGAAATAGATTCAGATGCATACTATTAAGATCCTGTGAGTCAATTCTTCCTATATTAATTTTACTTTTCTCTACTTGATGTTTTCTCAGACATATGACAGTCTTCTCAAGATGAGTGTTGTTGTATCATGATCAGCTGTGAGAACATGTATATATTAAAATATTGAGACAGAAAGCCCAGTGCAGTGGGAGAAGCTGCATGTTTGGTAGACACGACACATGTCTGGTAGAGCTATAGAACATATACATTTTCAATTGTGTCCTTTACTCCAGGCAGATTTTCTGGAAAGCAGATCACAGAAATAACCCTTGGATTTCAAGGAACAGCCCAATGCCGATTGGTGGTGAGCACACCTACTGTTAGCCCTAATGGCTGACTGTTCAGCACACTTAATTATTGTGGGGGTCTTTAGGGATGAGGGAATATATTGTAACCTCTCATCTGTGTTGATGGGTCTCTTGCCTTAAATGTTTTCTTAGGCGCAAGTGTATTTTGCTTCATAAAACTATAGGTTGTTGCTGCCAGTCTATTAAAAATTAAAATGGACATCATTAGAGGAAACAGTTAAATAAGATGTAATTACAGTTTTATCACAGGGAAGAATCCTTAAATTTTCATTTTCATAATATGTCTTATGTAATACTTTTCCTCCAGATTTTAAACACTTTTCCTCTGAGCTGAGTCATCTGTTTTGCTCTCTAGCATGTAACCTTGTTTCTTAGGGAGAGGCTGGGCTGGCATCCCAAGGGTCTTACTGCTCTGAGCTGTGCTCACTCTGTTCATAAGAACACGGTGGTATCTCTGAGTTTTCTTCAAAGCTTTTGATACAGACACCTAACTGTGTGTGAGTAGAAATAGCCATAGTTAGATTTTTTAGTTTGCATTTCCTTGTATACTGTTACTATACTGTTACTGTGTGTGTGTGTGCTCAGTTGTGCCCGATGCTTTGCGACCCCAAGGACTATAGCCTACCAAGCTCCTTACCACTGCACCACCTGTGAAGCCCCATACTGTTATTGAGCAGAGGTTACAATAATATTCCTTGGTAGGGTGCTCGATAGATTGAGTGGGTATAAAGATTCAGCAGACTTTGAAGTCAGGATAAATCTACATTGAGTAGTAGGGAACTTAGCCCACCCACTGGGACCACATATATTGCAAAATACTAAATATTACCTACTCCATGGGGCTCCCTAGGTGAAACTAGTAGTAAAGAACCCACCCGCCAATGCAGGAGATGTAAGAGATGTGTGTTTGATCCCTGGGTGGGGAAGATTCCTTGGAGGAGGGCATGACAACCCACTCCAGTATTCTTGCTTGGAGAATCCCATGGACAGAGGAGCCTGGTGGGCTACAGTCCATAGGGTCACAAAGAGTCAAACACAACTGAAGCAGCTTAGCATGCACACATGAACCTACACCATGGACCTGGAACCCTGTCCAAGCTCTCATCCCAGATATAAATAGTCACTTCTGTCAACCTCTTCTGCATCTACCCACATTATTCTTGAATAAAGAAGAAAACACATGTTTTAGTCACATATTCAAAATGGTACTTTAAGTAACCAGAGGGCCTTGTGCAGAGCCAGAAGTAAGATTCTAAAGGTTTAGCTTTG